ATTTAGCACAATTTACTTAATTGACACATTAACTGATCATTATTTGTTTAGGGCATTTCACCTTGCCGGCTATATTTATCGTCATCGACTCATCGAATGGTTGGTAAGGGAAAGGTGCATAACACTCTGGGAGACTTACTTCACCACAAATCGCTCCCTTCTGGATTTTTGAAAGTATCTATTGATATTGCGTTAGAGGGGGTGCATTGTTGCCTATACCAAATGTTGTTTCAGACGCAACAATGGTGGGAGACGCAATAGGAGCGTATGTGGCATGGCCGACAAATCTCATTTTCATAGATGATGAGGTAGGTTGAACCTTTTAATATTCAAATGTTTTATGATCCATACATGAAAGTTATTCTTACATTTATATTTTCTTATTTACATGATGATCTTAGACTCCTACAAAATCCAAATCAAAAGATGATAGAATTATTGTGCGGGATACCGATTCAGCTGCATCAAAGAAACAGGTACTACTACAGTTACATGATTATTTTATTATACATTAGTTACTGAACTTATGTATGACTTTTAGGTTCATGATGATCAGCAGTCGCAATAAGTCAGCAAGGGTAAGATGCCTGAAACTTCCAAGGTGCCCAGAAAAGCATTTGTTCCTTGATTTAGGATGTGCCTTGAAACATATGTGGGAACAACAGATGTGAATGAGGGTGGCATCCGTCAAATACATATGGACGAAGGTATTTTCGGTTTTGAATATCCCGAAACAATTGCTAAGGAGGATTTTGACCAGGTTTTCAAACATTCTGAATTGGGCGTCGGTGTTATGCATTCCTACATCAGGTACTTCGATCCATTTTAATTAAATAATTGAACATTTTAAAATTTGCTCGTTTAACTGAATATTCTAATGTTGATTATGTTTTTTTAGGCTCTTGTATGACAAGTTGTTGGTCCCGAATGATTTGACTTCAGTATTCGCATTCTTATCTGCTAGCTGTGTCAACTCACGGACAATAGACCAGACACCAGATGCAGTCAAAGAGTACACAGTGCAGAGATTTATGGGCGCGACTACGGAGAAGTTGTTCTTGTTGCCATATAATACTGGTCATGGGTTAGATTTTATTCTAAATTCATTTATTATAATTGTTCGATTTTTTCCTTTCTATATAACATTTTCGTCTAAAATGTTGCCTTATTTTATAGTGGACACTGGTTGTTGGTCGCGATTAATCCGAGGAAAGAAATAGTGTATTATATAGATTCATTGGATGGCGATGCAACAAAATATGAAAAATCTGAGGAACATGGTTGATACGTAAGTGATGAGATATATTGTTCTGAATAATTATATATCTTTATTTATTATGTGACATTGTTCTAAATATGCGTTTATATTATGTTAGAGTTATACAAATATTCAGAGCACAAAGAGATGCAACGGTGCCAAAAAGCAAGGCTAACAACATCAACTGGATCAGAGTGGAGGTATATTTTCCCATGTTTGACTGTTATAGTGGTTCTACTTGATAAAACTATTTAAACTATATATCTGGATAAATGTTCGTTTGTTTTTTCCATTTACAGTGTCCTCGTCAGCGCAATGGGATTGACTGCAGATATTTTGTATTGCGCTTTATGAAGGAAATTATTCTTTCTGGTCAAATAGAGGTTCCAATCATGGTATGGATCAATTCATAAGTTATATGATTCATTTTGATAATTATCCGATACTTCATCTGAGTAATTAGTTTTAAAATTAAATCTTGCATGTTCTGTTATATTATGTAGTACTTTGATGAATTCAAGTGCGCTACTTACTCGAAAGCAAGATTGGAAGAAATTAAAGAGGAATGGTGTCAATTTATTCTTGAGTTGAGAACTGTATAAAGTTATCGGATTGGAAGAACTGTAATTATATGTAAATTGACTGTATTTGTGATGTTGTAATTCTGAGGATCGGATTTTTTTGTAACATATTTAAGCAGGTTTATGTGTATTAAAATGATTATGGGCAAAGTGATGAGTTACAATGTATACTTAAAGGCCAAAGTTTTGAATTGTATATATAAGGCCAAAGTTTTGAATTGTATATATAAGACCAAAGTTTTGAATTGTATATATAAGGTCAAAGTGTTGAAATAAAGGCCTGAATTATAAGCAGGTTTGTGTAATATAAGCAGGTTGTTGGTAAATATACAAAATAGCGTGATTATTTTAAAAAAAAAATTTAAATCTGGGACATTAGACAACGCTTTTACAAAAAGGCGCTGCTAAAGGTTACAAACATAGCGCTACAAAAGCGCTGCTATAGGTTGGGAAGGGGGGGTCTAAGACAGCGCTGCTAAAGGGGGGCTATGACAACGCTTTGTAAAAGCGCTGCTAAAGGTGGAGTCTAAGACAGCGCTTTGTGAAAGCGCTGCTAAAGGGGAGAGGGTTGGGGAGAATATGCAGTGCTTATAAAAGCGCTGCTAAAGGGTTAAGAAAGCGCTGCTAAAAGAGTTACTGAAGGGAGCCTTTAGCAGCTTTTCCAATAAAAAAAAGCGCTGCATTTACCTTTAGCAGCGCTTTTAAGCGCTGCTAAAGGCTAAAAAAAGCTTTGCTAAAGGTCTTTTTTGGCATAGTGTAAGGAGTAGTTACGCACCACCCATACAATCATACACATATAACGCACATACACATGCCACATCAATTACTCGGCATCAATAGCCCATATTCAAATACAAATATGCAATGTGACTCACTGACTCGACACAATGCATATGGTACCAACACAAATACATACGGTTCATCCTAGAACCCGATTCCCGTCGGAATCCAGATAAGTCGTATACGTTCCTCTGAACTACAACTTATCTCCACAACGACTTCCACATGAAGTCCGGATGGAACTAGGCACCCGTCATGGATTCCCACCTAGCCATCTCCACAAGGCACATGACATGAAATGCATGATAACATGATTATGCAATATAATAAATCAAACATAATTCACGATCATCCATGATCCACACGAGCCATCCGCTCACCGTAATCCTCTCGAGAATTACCACAATCGTACAAGATTATTCACATTCGATAATCATGGCTCATATTCATCAAAACACACCCCTGAGGGCACACCCATATAATTCTACATCCTCCTGATTTAATTCATTACTAATATTCCTTAAGTTCATTTTAGTCCTATTAATCCTACCGATTAAATGGAATTGCGTTCCAAGCAAAATCTGGGCAGAAATCGCGAAAATGGGAAAAAGTCATCCCAGACCTGCCCATATGCGTACCATACGCGTATTAGGCCTACCTTATGCGTATGACCAGAGGCCTTCACCTCCCAAAACCCCTCAGAGTTACACCTTACGCGTGTGACTACCCCCATACGTGTATTGGCCAAGCCCATACAGTTAAACCCTTAGTTTTCAGATCTGCTAATCCACAGTATTATATCACAACTTTAGGGAATTTCCACACGAATTTCTATATCAGTTCCAAAATCATACGTACAACACCATTACAATGATCATTCAACAATAACAGAAATCACCGGAAAATTGTAATATCACGAAAATCAATAAAAAGGCAAGAACAAACAAAATTCCTACGAGAGAAAGGACCTCTCACTACCCTCTCATGTTAAATCACCCATATTAAAATCCATTCTCCCCCCTTACCTTGGGTTTGAGCTCTTTCTTGGCAACAATGGAAATGTCTTGATTCTTCTGTCCTAGTTCTCCTTTCTCTGCCTTTTTACTCTTTCCCGAATGTTAACTGTTTAATCCCCTTAATACTCCCTTAACCCTCTTAATCAGATTTTAATTTATTTCATTTAATTACTACTAATACCAATAATAATAATAGTAATAATAATAATAAAACTGGTAGTAATAATAATAATAATAATAATAATAATAATAATAATAATAATAATAATAATAATAATAATAATAATAATAATAATAATAATAATAATAATAATAATAATAATAATCCCATTAATATTACTATTATTAATAATTAAAATCATAATGTTAATAATTATAATACTCTTACTCTTATTATTAATTTATCCCCTTATTCTAAGTCCACATTACCTAAGATCAGTTCTCACTCTCGCCCCTAATCTCATACCTTTATCGAGGACATCACAACCAATATGCACATAATAAAATATAAAAAGATTAAATAATTCAAATGGGGTGTTACACTTAAGCCTCTCCCGATAGTAGACAAGCCAACGTTTAGCCGTTAGAACGTGATCTAAACACTTGTTCATTAGAAAACACAAACCAAGAAACCGCAGTCTCTCCGAACTACGGAGCTCTGATTTCCTCATTGCACCATCAACTCCCGAACCCGAATTTGGTTACGACGACCATTTTCTTTTTCAAAGGTTTTATCGATATTTTTCTATTCCTTTATTAGGATAAATAAAATTAGGTGACAACTCTTTTCGAACATTTTTCCGCGTCCATAGCAAAGGATCGTATTTTTCGAGGTACGACAAGTCAATGCGAGAATATTTTATATATAAATATTCTCAACGCTCCCCCTCATGTTGGATCATATATGTCATATGAGTCAAACTTGTTACAAATGTATCCATTCGAGAATTCCTAAGAGACTTTGTAAACATATAAGCTAATTGCTCTTCAGAACTTGCATATGGGACGTAAAACTTAAATGGTGAGTGGTTCAATAAATCTTAAACGAGACTCTAATACCATATTAAATAAGAGATTAAAAGACGTTTGAATAAACCATATATTTAAAAGCACTACAAAGACTATACTATGTATAAAAAGATTACAACTAATTTAATATTATAGTCACTGTGAAACTATTTTATTCACAAATATTCTTAACAATATTTTTAAAGAGTTTTCACACACATATATACACATAGAAATTCATCCTTGGTTCGAGCCTTAAAACATTTTTACTTCTTTCTTTGATCTGTAAGGTTACATTACATCTTCTAATTTAGCAGAAAAATTGGATCAGTGATCTTCAGATATTAATGTTCTACATTACAACATAGAATCACTAGCTACAGGAGTTTGTAAAACCTCAGATATGACTTCCCAAGAATGGTTCTCATCATCCATTACGCGCCTCCGATCAAGGAAAGCCGGCCTCATTGGTGTTGTAACCATATCAATTTTGAATGTCAACAATGCTACAATCTGTGACATTGCAGGTCTCAAGTCTGGATGTGGCTGAAGACATAAAAATGCCACATGGAATGCTTGCATAACATCCTTCTCTACATATCCTTTTTCTCTCAGCTTTGGATCTATAAGATTCATCACCATTGATTTCTCATAAAGTTTCCATGCCTATAATGAAGAATTCACACAAACATTATTTCAAAACTTAAGGAATAAGTATTGGTTCAAGTAATCCTAAAAGAAACGAATCCGAGAAGTTACATATTCAGGGAGGTACTGCATGTCAGATGGTAAAGTGAGATCTGTGTTTTTCCTGCAGCTGATTATTTCGAGCACGAGAACTCCAAAACTATATATGTCTGCTTTTTCAGATAATTCTCCTCTGATTGCATATTCAGGAGCCGTATAGCCTCTAAATGAAGAAAAACAAAGATCCATCATTAGAAAACTTAAAAAACTGACATAGATACGGACACTGAACAAGAAAATGACACACGTATAGATGTCAGATGTCATGTTGGTGTCAGACACTAACACCTACGGTGTCATTTGAATAAAGGACTTACAATGTTCCAGCAAATTGAGTGCTAAGGTAAGCTTGGTCTTCAGGGAAGAACCTAGCTAGTCCGAAATCACCAATCCTCGGCTGAAACTTTTCGTCAAGAAGAATGTTGCTTGCTTTGATATCACGGTGAACAATTCTTACATGCGAATCCTCGTGAAGGTATTGCAATCCCCGCGCTACTCCAAGAATAATTTGAAATCTAGTGCTCCAGCTAAGAAATTCATCAGTATTCCCATGAACAAAGAGGTCTAAACTTCTGTTCTTCATGTATTCGTAAACGAGTATCCTTTGAGGTCCATCCGAGCAACAGCAGAGAAGGCGAACAAGATTTTTGTGCTGGATGCTTGTGATCATTCTCACTTCTGCTAGAAATTCTCTTTCCCCTTGGTGAGATTTATCAAGAGACAGTTTCTTACAAGCAACTAGCCTTCCATCTACCAACTTTCCCTGTCAAAACATATATATGCAGTCCTCAAAGTTGAATCTCGATTTGATTAACACGAAATTGTGTAGCAAAGCAAGTATCATTAGATTTAGTACCTATGTTATACCTGATATACCGGGCCAAATCCGCCACTTCCGAGAAGATTTCGGCGGTGGAAATTCTTGGTGGCCTTTCTCAATGTATGGAAATCAAAATAGCTAATTGTCCTAAGGTTTCCACTGATGAACTCCATGAATCCTGTATCTATACATATAGAAACTTCAGCACAGGTCCATAAATAATGTCAAATATTTGTCATGCTTTGTGTAAATTACCTGATTGTTGATTAGTTGGGACAATTTTCTTCATCACCTCTTCTGGTACAACGCAATCACAGATAACAGAAAAATGATTATTTTTATAAGACCACATAGTAAACTTTTTATGATGATTTCTTCATATATTACCATGGTTTTGACTCTGACTTGGCGGCGAAGCTTTCTTCTCAGGTAGTTCTTGCGGGACACGTTTAATACGCTTCCAAAATATACATAGAAGAATGAGCAATATGATGAGAACTACTATCCCTCCAAGTAAAAAGAACAAAGCTCCCGAGACGTGGCGCGGTGGCGAGGAGGAGGAGGAGGAAGATGAAGGAGGTGTCTCTGCCATATGACAAGAATATCCTTATTACATCATACTATTTTAATTATTATATTATATAAGTTTCATTTGATAACTGAGAAAATGAAGGTGAAAAAAGAAACCTTGGAGTTGGAGTAATCTTCGAGACATTGTTATCGACAGAAGAGAGTGTTGTGGTTGAAGTTGAGCCGTCCTGGTCGGTATTGAGATAACATAGCCAAATATGAGGAGGTGAAATTCAACAACTGGCAACAGCAAACATTTGCAGATGAGTTTTCTGTTTGATTTTCTGCTACTACTACTATTTACCAATTCTTTATTGTCGTTAATTGTTATCTTGAAAAACAAAAATGAAACAATTGGAGAATGATTCTATGTTATTTTATTGTATTGTATGGTTGTTTCATAGAATAGATCGAAACAATGTAGTATTGCCGGACAATTCTATTGGGTGGGAGTTACATAGAATATTTGATGTGGTCGAATACAGACATTCTATCTTTTTAGTATATTTGTCTCTTTGATTGTTAAGTTATGATAAAAAAAAAAGGTTTAAATAAGCACACATTGTTCCGGTAAATATAGAGGTTTTTGATTTGGTCTTGTTTTTTCAATGCAGCCGAACCATAGTTGGCCCATATGGCCCATTTATTTGAAGAAACTTTTTCAATTTATTTTGGAATTGTTCTCTACACTACTCCATATGTTACTCACACACAGCCAAAATTTCTAAAACACCTTTAAGTTTTAAATTTTGGAATTCAAACAAATTTAAAATCACGTTAATTACAAGGAAAAAATTTACTGATTTTAGAATCTGAAGCATCCTTGCACACCACAACAACCTAGCCTCTGAACCATAGCCAAATCAAAATAAAACAAATGTTTGAATTTCAAACTTCAGTTTAAACTTACGGATTAGTTCCTCTTGCATAGCAAGTAACCATCACTCGTCAAGTAAGGCATCAGATATTGATTTAGGTTCAATCTGAAAAATGAAAGTAAAGTACTTACAGAAACTGTTAACCTGTGACCTAGTACTTACTCCCCTTTTGATGTCTCCAAGGATTTTATCTAACGGATGATCCTTTATAATTGTCCAAACTCGAGGTAGTTGATTCAAGGTCTCTTGTTTATCATCCTCATGTAAGCTTTCCTCCCTATCTTCTATAATGCCCTGATCCTTTATTTTCGATTGGGATCCTCTTTTGAACTTTCATTGTCGATCAATATTTCCGTTGTAATACTTGAAACATCAGAACAAATACCCTTCTCCAACTTTTGGGGTGAGAATTCATCAAAAACAACATAAATTGACTCTTCTACAGAATAAGTTTTATGATTGTAATCCCCATAGGCTTTACTCGTAGATGAGTACCCTAAGAAAATATTTTCATCAGATTTTGCATCAAATTTGCCAAGGTTATCTTTCTCGTTATTCAAAATAAAGCATTTGCAAACAAAAACTCGAAAACATGAAATATTAGATTTTCTACTCTTAAGTATCTCATAGGGTGTCTTTCCTAGGATAGATCTTACGATTATCCTGTTTAAGATGTGGCATGAGATGTTAATTGCATCCGTCCAAAAATACTTAGGTAGGCTCATCTCATTTATTATAGTCTGAGAAAGCTCTTCCAATACACGGTTCTTGCGTTCTACAATACTGTTTTATTGTGGAGTTCTATGACATGAGAAATTATAAGCAATATCATTTTTGGTGCAAAAGTTTGGAATTGATGGTTCACCATGATCATTATGGAGAGTGATGATTTTAAAACCAAAAACATTTTGAACAATCTTAGAAAAGTCAACAAAAGCTTTAAAAGTATCATCCTTATGGGCTAAGAAAAACGTCCATGTAAATCTAGATTAGTCGTTAACAATCACAAGTCTGTAATAGTTGTCATCTAGACTTCTTGTCCGCAAAGGGCCAAACAAGTCTAAATGAAGAATCTCAAGAGGTTTTGATGTCAAAATAACCTTCTTCGGTTTAAAAGACACTTTTGATTGTTTTCCTATTTGACAAGAATCACATAACTTTTCTTTTGAAAACTTTATTTTTGGAAAACCAAATATTAGATTTTTGGATGTTATTTTATTTAGCAAGTCAAAATGCACATGACTTAAGTATTTATGCCATAACCAAGAATCTTCATTTTTAGCTACTAAACACTTAGTCCCATGCATTAAGACATCATATATGTCAAGCATATAGACATTTTCAATCCTATAACCCTTAAACACAAGGTCCTTACTAATATTATGCTCAATTATACAACTAAGACTATCAAATGAGACCGAATACTCTTTGTCACATAATTGGATAATACTTAGCAAGTTATGTTTAAACTCTTTCACTAACAGCACAATTCAACGGTAATTGTGGAGGGATTTCCCACAATACCTTCACCAAAAATTTTACCTTTCATATTGTCTTCATAGGTGATATGACCACTCTCCTTCTCATCAAACATGATGAATATGGAAGCATCTCCCATCATGTATCTTGAACATCCGCTATCTATAAACCTCAATATTTTTTAGAGAGGAAAGACTTTATTGTAAGAAATAAATAAGGTAATTTAGACCTCTAAATAGTGGGTCATTTAGGGTTAGTTGATTTAATTTAGGAATCCATGTCATTTTACCATTGAGAATTTTAATGTTCCTAACATGACAAAGAGGCCTAATGTGACTCTTATCTCCACAATAATGGCAAATATCTTAAGATGAAACACTCTTTCTATTTCTCCTTGTGACATGAGAGTTTTTCTTTAAAAACTTCCCTCTTTCACTAGAAGAACTATAACAAGCATTAGATAGTGAGGCATTATGTGTTAAATTTCTTTTAAGAGTTTCAATTTCAGTTTTTAAAATTGGACAATAGCATATTTAGTAACTTCTAGCTTTTCAGCTAAAGTATTCCAAACAATAGAACACTCTTCCACAAGAGATGTGTGAGCTTACTTTAAACAATCTAAAGCATGATTAAGATTCTTTATCTCATGTTCAAGTGTATCAATAATTTATTTTTGGAGTGCAATTTTCTTAAATGTTTTAATGCAATTATAATACATGTCATTAAACACATTAGATAATTCACCATAAGTATACTCATTTTTAGAATCAGAATTATATACCTTTGAAGTTCCAGTTTTCTTTCGTGCCATCAAAAAAAAGTTGACACATTCATCATTTAACTCAATCAGGAATCAGAGGAGCCGTTTTCCACCTCTTCTTCCCATGTGGTATAGGCTCTACGACCATTGGAAGATTTTCCCTTCGTCTTGTAGAAACCATTGTCTTTGCTTTTATGATGTTTGGTGAGATAAGAGTGTGTAGTTCTATAGTGTCCCAATTTATCACGTTCATAGCATGTGATTTCATCATTTTCTTTCTTGTGATCCTTCTTTGGTGGATGAGTATTTATGAAATTCACTAGACCTTTGTCGGTATGCTCGAGCTTGTTTCTCATAAGATATCTATTGTAACATCTGAGAGTAAACCCATATCTTCCTTTTTGGAAACTTCTTTGTCAGAGTTGTCACTTTATTCCTTTAACTTCTTCACTTTCAAGGATGAGGCTTTCAAAGAAATATCTTATTTCGCTTCTTTTCTTTTCTCTTTCTTTTTTGAATTTACTTTGCTATTGGCAAGTCGGTTCACCTCATTCTCATGCTTGCCTAACTTCCCAAACATTTTTGTAATATCTAAAGTACTAAGATCATTTGCTTCCTTTATAGCATTTACTTTTATTTGCCACTCCTTGCACATGGATCTCAATATTATTTTAGTACAATCTTTGTTGGAAAAGGTTTTACCTAAGTCTCACAGTTTGTTGATCAATTGGAGGAATCTAGTTTGAATGGGATCCACAGATTCTCCAAGTTCCATACGAATTAGTTCAAAATCCTTTGTAAACATATTGATTTTAGAATGCTTTAAGTCATCCATTCCATCATATATATTTTGGAGAGCATCCCACATACCTTTAGCACTTGTATGATGTGAAATTGAGTATAACACTTTAGCACTTAGTGCTGAAATGATTATGTTCCTCGCTTCCAAATCATATGAAACCTTTTTGGTTTCATCGTCATCCCAATCTTTTGGATGTTTAGAAATGTCATTATCATCCATGGGAATATATGGTCCCTTAGTGGCGACACACCACATATTTTGTCAACCGATAACTAGTGTACATACATGACCGATTTCCAATATGTATAATTTTTACCTTTAAAACCTGGTGCTCTATTATATGCTCCCTTATGATCGTTATCTTTTTACATATTCACAAACTTTTGGATGTCAATTAGACACAATCAAAAGAGCTCTTGATGCTAATTTTTGAGTGTGAATATGAAAGTAGAAAAACGATCTAGAGTGGGGTGAATAAACCCAAATTTAAAAAATGCAACCGACGTTTTCCAAAATCAATGTTTTAAAAAATGAGTTGCGAGCGGAAGGCTTAAAGCGAAAATAAAAATTATATAGTTGAATATGATCAATCTAACACATTTCGTTTCATAAATATCCAAGATATAGAGATGAAACTCTTGGTATGAATTGATTCAATTTGTGTAGTCACAAGAAGTGTACACAATTGATTCAATGTAAGGATTCCTAAATTCAATCATTTTTCAAATTTATCAATCACAATACTAGCTCAACCAGTTGTTTAATTCTAAAAAAACCTAAGCTTTACGTAATTAATTGCTATCAAGAGAAAAAAATGATATAATACAAAAGAATTGGAAAACCTAGAATGAAATCCCTACGAATATAAATGCAAGAGTAAGATTTAGAGAGATGATACCGAGATTTATAGTGCTTCGGCGTTCATCCTCGCTTGGCCTACATACACTCTTTAATGGTTTCTTATTGGAACCTGCATAGTTCCTTATTATTTGAAAAATATTTCCAAAATTTCATTCAATCACAAATACATAATTACAAATGAGAAAATAAATCTCCTAATTTGGATCTTGACTTGTATACAACAAACTTGCTAAACTCTTTTATGTAATCTTTACTCGAATATGTTTCTTTGATCTTCTAAGGACACCAATTTTCCTCAAAGCCTTTGTGTGTAGCAATCAACCTCTTAATCCTATTGATATCTTGAGCGGTGAAATTTTTTGAAG